CCGTGATTCAATTTTCATTAATTAAGTAACTTTCACAGCGCTGTAAGAGGCTTTCTTACTTAACCTCTTCAGTGCTACCATGCCATATCGCATGACTTTAACACGCTATGAAGCGTGTCTTTTAACACGCTGCAGAAAATAAAGTCAATAAAAGATTTAGCGTGTTAAGACGTGCAAAAGAAAAGCTACCGTGACACTCTTTGTTTCCTTATTAAATATGCGCATATGCGTGTCAGATGTCACGCTTAGCGTGCCGTGTCATCACACGCGTGCCCGTGCTATCACCATTATGTTGGAAATCCTGTGGAGGGTCACATATAGTTGTTGATACCTTTGCAAGCCTTTGACCATTTCTTCTTATCTTCCTCCAGACAAGGGTAAATTTCCAAAAATACCGTTTTATTTTTTGTATTTTAATGGCGTCGAAAGGTTCCTTTCCCTTTGCCCTGCTAATATTTTTGTATTTTATCTCTTTGTCCTTAAAAAACTTTTTGAATAGCTGAACACCGAAATTTGTCTCTGAGCAAGCTTTATTTTTTCACTTGACTAACATATTCATATCAATGTCAATTACTTCTGAAGATTCACCCATTTCAGGGTAATCTGCAAATGCCTCGCAATCCCTTAAATCGTTTGTGTTTATCGTTAGAATTTGATTTCCTTGCTGGGTTGTTCAGGGAGATTGTAGGAAAAATTGGGGCTCACATTTTCTTGGCAAACATTCTGGCTACATTCAAGAGATAACTCCAGTATGGCTTGTTCAGGTGTGCCCGGGGTTAACATGGTCAACAATCCTCCATGTTGTTCAGGGACATCCTGGGAGTCAGATTCACATCCAGGTTTATGAGTGAGAACAGCCCTTTGTGTTACCTTGCATTTCGCGTTGGGACTTTTCAATTGAACTAGTTTTGGTAAGGATCTCATTTGTCACGGTGAGGTTTTGATGTAACAGTGTCATAAGGTGACTATTCGAAACATCAACCACCACACTTTCACTGTTTCATCAGCCTTTTCGCTTTCTTCAATGATTCTGTCCACTGTGTTTTTAATTTCGTTCTCAGCCTCCTGTTCTGAGCCTGAGTCTTCAAACATAGCCGCGACTTTTCTTTTGTTGCTCTGATTGTCAGTGTTCCGTGCTTGACACTGAGAAATTGAACACATTATGATATTAAAACCCAATGAAAAACAGACTTATCCCCCTCAAGTTGACAGCTGATGATGGCAATCGCACTTCCCGCAAGCCTAGCCACAAATGAAATTAAGCCTTTGAAGATCTGGGGTCCCAATACCCCCTGCCCCAACATCACCCTCTTTAAGGTATTCCTGGAGGCTAAAGTGATATTTTTGTTTTGCCAAAATTTTTTGTCCACTGGAAGATAATTTTCAAACACAAACGTATGCTAAGTTTTAGGTCGGAAAAACCAAACCCGTCTGAGATATTGGCGTGCAAAGTTTTGTTTCTATGTAGGTTTTCACGGTAAAAATACGAAAAAATGTCCTGCTGTGGATATCCCAAAGGATGGTCTTGTTGACAGCTCAACACAATAAAACCTGGTAATCTGAAATGTGACACCCTCTTTGATTGTGATGGCAGCTGAGGAAGCAGTAAATGCGCTCGACCATACTTTCAGAGAGAACGGGTAAATAAATCGCTTCGTGTACTGAATTTTGTTGCTTTTCTGTACTTGTTAA